TGATGGATTGATGGATGGATACAGGATAGATGCATAATCGACTCGGAGGAAATGGATGAAAGCAAAATGATTAAATTGTTTTATGAATTGGTAAATGAATGGGGAGATGAGTCCGTGGTATATATGTAATGGATATTGGATGGATTTCGGTTAATAAGGGATACACGGAAGGATTGATATACAATTGATTGAAGGATGAATATAAGATAGATGGGTACCAGGTCTGTTCGGAATGTACGGGTCAACGGATTTATGATCTGCATCGGAATGTGAACAATAAGACACGGAAGAATAGATGGAAAACGCTTTGCTCAGTGAAACAACTTCAAGCCTTGTTTTTCTGTTAAGTGGCTTTGCTTTTAAGCCAACCTCCTCACCACTTCAGATTGGCATATAAGATGGCCTCGTACTGCATTACCCAGTCTAGAGCAGCACGAAACCAGCACCATTCGCCCTTCCTCATTATACTACACAAATTGGACGAAACTATGGATGCGCTTGAATAGTCGAGGTACACTGTTGCCGTTAGGATCAAATTTCCTCACACCTGTGAGAAGGATCAATGACTGGCGTTGATTGTTCATGGTTTTTTCCTAAAACAAGAATACTCTGTGGTGAGCGACGTGGGATACTGACCATATACGGTTCTCTGAACTCCTACGAATCCTAGTGGTGGGTTATGCGGGGGTTTGATCTATTGTTGAACTGTGCGATGAAATGCGTAGACGCTTTACGCTGGGTGGACTGCACATCCGTTAATGTCTGGCATCCTAACAGATTTTCTGCCCTTCCTGACGTTATTAATAAACCATACTTTTAATATTATCTCACTGCCTGGAAAGAGTGGATGCCGCCATTCTCGGGTGGCTAATCAGTCAAAATATCGTGAATAGACTGCCAGTGCGTCAAATCGGTGTGTGGTTTTTGCCCCAACAGAAAGTTTGTTCTGCTAGATAAAAGGAATGCTTACTCCTGAAAGCAGGGCCTCCCTGCTATTCGGAATGGGCGGAGTTAACGGTGCTATCCCTTGAATAGCCACCAATGCCATTTGCCACGACTATTCCTTAAATTTCTCCTCTTCTTGGGCTTTATGCAAGACTGTGGGAAAGCTAAGAAGGCAAATTTTCACTCCCGGTAAAAATGTCAACATGATAAGTTGTGGTGGAAGCTACCGATTTGTTAACTTTTTGTTCATGCTTTGTTCTTTACTGTCTCTCACTTAATGGTGAGCTGAAACAGTATCAAGGATTGGGTCTTTGCGGGGAGAGGAGGCGAAAGCGTTGCAACATTATCTTTTGTTTAATGCAACAAAGCTCTTTTTAGGAATTCCTTATAATTACTCTTTTACCTTTTAGTAAATAAATTCTAACTTGCTAGGAGGCTTTTTAAATGTTTAGTCACTTCTAATGAGGCAGTATTGCGCCAAATTAAGTTAAAATTTACTGCCTCAGAATAATTTTTCACTTTTCAGCACGGTGGTTCCGGGTCTGGTAATATAGTGGTGCCTGGAGTGTTCTCCGATTTCCCAGCAGCATGATAGAGGGCATAACATCAACGAGCTGAAAAGCTGGTAGGTTACTAGTACGCCCTGAGGGTGGTGCTGCCCAACGCAAGCCCAACCCACCCAGCAAGAAGTGCCCACCTCCGTCTACTCAGTTCAAAAATGCATCCATCCATCACTTAGCTCACTATCCCTCTTTACCTGAGTGACATCTGTGATAGACTTCAGTGCAGTTAACGCTTTAGAAACACCCATGGAACGTTAACGCCATCCATTAAAGCAAATTGCACGCAAAAAAGCAATTGACCCCAACGTCGTTTGTGCATCTCGGCTACTCAAGCTCAACCGCAACGCAGTCCCAATCGTGAAATGTAGTGGATAATGGAAAAGTGAGCTGGCTCTGTGTTGCTCAGGACTAAATGAGTCTTCACAGCGAGGACACTTCATAAGTCAGTCGATGGTGGTGAGGAATTCGATATAAAAGCAGAGCCATATTATAAAGTACAAGAAATTAAGGCTTCCGCTATATGCTATTCAAACTGTAGAGCAGTCTATACATTGATTCATCTATCCATTCCGTATGCATCTATCCATCCATCCATCCCGCATTCCACTTTTCAAGTAGACATATCCATAATGTATTTTTCAAGTGGCTAAAATCTGGATTTGCTCCCTTGTTAATGGCCTTCTTGCAGAAGACGGAGTTGGGGTTACCATTAATGGTGCGAGCAGTTTTGTCGTTTTCTCTTGGAAGTCTTTGCATAGTCACCCTTTCGAACAAAGGTTTGTTAATGAACCATAAAAATTAGGGTAGTTATTTTATTGGAATTAGGTTTGTCTTCTGCAGTACTTCCTTCCACCTAGATGTTATCGAGGGCACTCACCAAGTCCGAAATGCAGTTGGTTCATCAGGGCGGGAAAATCATACATAAAAATGAGGAGTTAGTGTCATTTATTTTGGCATAATTTTGCAGCATGATATTTTTTTAAGAGGTGGTTAAGCAACCAGACATTTGAGTTTTATTTAGTTGTTTTCAGCTCTGGGTTAAGGTCTTCGTGCCATGCTAGTAGCCTCCCAAATATTCTCTTCGTTAGTTCGTAGTATGTTTAACCAGGCTACCTTGCCTGATTACCACTTCAAGGTAGACTCAAAGAGACACACGGATAGAAATACCCATCTTGAATCTGTCTAGTGTATCTCTATGACGATTTCGTCGGTCTAAATAAGTGGTATTTTTCCCACGGCTTTCTTACGAAAATGGATGTACAAAGGGGCTTCAGTCGCATTGACAAAGATGTCAGTCAAGGATGAAGAAGCACAGATGGCATAACTTGCACTTTATTCCTCTATTTTTCCTTCCCACAATTCACCGGATCGCCTTTAGATTGGAACGTGTCTGCTACCTTTTATAAATAAGATTACTGTAAATGGTAGTGGCACCGCCCTATGTTTAAACTTGATTCATGTCACTACTTTCTTTTCTTTCTAGTTTTCACCTTGAGATGGAAGTGCACGGGGCACCGAAAAAAACGGAATTGTGCATTTTTCTAATAAAACTTTCTCCCTTTTTTGGTAGGAGCATGTGGGCTTAACAGGAGAAATTGATTGTATTCACTTTGAGGTCGATCCATGAAGGCAATGAAGGAGAGCTGAATGCGAGAGGTGGATGGCTCCAAAAGTGGATGCTAGTTCCAATTTCCTCGAAGTGTATTAAACTTCGCCTAATACTTACATGTCTCCCAAAAGAGACGGGCGAGGGTGGGGAGGGAAAGAGGTTTGAAGGAGGAAAGAAGGAGAAAAAGGGACCTTAGTTGATTCGCTCCTCTTAAATATCTAGATATATCTTAATGTCGTCGCATAGGTAACTGCCACTTCATCTTTTCCTCAAACTAATTAATTCGGGTATGTGGAGAACATTTCAAGGGGTTTGTGCTAACACCCTCTCCGTTCTTCCACAATGAATAATGATATATGACAACTCTTTTTCATTAAGGGAGAACCTTTAAGGAAAAATAATAAATGCTAAAAACAAAAAGCCCATTAGCCTTAAGAATAGGGAAGCAGGAGATTTCGACCTTTTAGCTGATGAGTTTGACCTTGGTAGTAGCAGACATAGCTAGCCGGTGGCCGAGTAATGTAAAATGATAAAGACAAATGATCCGCTTTGATGTCTTCTTGACACACATTCGTTGTCAAGAAAGGAATTGTGCAGTGGTAAAAGGTCATCTTTTTTCTCCCGCTTTGCAGCGATTGCCTGAGTCTTACGGCTGCCTATCCAGCTAAGCTCCAATACCTTCTCTACAGCGGCAAAAGTGGACAAATGGACCACGATGATTTGTCGTGACACTCCAAAGGTCATTTGCTCTTTCCAGTTGTGTCAAATGAAATGTCCAGATATGATCCCGTGGCGAAGAACTTGTCTCTCTCTCTCTCTCCAATGCTTTAACCCCTGAAAATACCCAACCATCGAGCTAAGAGATGACGGCTATAACTATAAGAAAACCTTCAAAATTGAATGCTATGGAGCATGTCATCACCCAGAGCCTCACTTGACGCAGGTACACTTAAACAAGGAGGCATGGCCACAAAATGCTGAATAGATGAAGCTTCAATTATCCCTTTCAAAATTGCAAATTAAAGTACAAGTGTTGGAGAGAGATCTAGTGATATATAAAATGTCATTCGGGTTTGTTATTTACTGTGATATATCCGAGGGAATAAAATGTGTTATAAATTCAAACTATGGATCTAGCCACTTAAATATGATGCAGATTTAATGTTCTTTTTAGCCTTTACTGGATGAGTAGCAAATTCTACAAACCTAGCGGAGTATTTGCTATGCACGTGATCTGAAGCTTTACTGGATTTTTCTGCTGCCATTATTCAGGAGTCTCATGAAGCATGTAGGTCGAGTAGAAAGATTTCAAACCTCCTCAGGTTTACCTGACTTCGATCAGCGAGGTTTACCTCACAAGTTGAAGCTGCCACCGATAGGGGGATTCACAAAAAATTGTGAGCCAGTTTATTCACATTCTCTATGGAGGAAGTGGGCGTTCAGTTCAGCGAAGCTAGCAATGAAACCAGACAATTTGCTGCCACTTATGTGATTACTCTATGAGTATACAGTTCAAATGCCTAGACTCACAAATGTTTCTTGTAATCCGTGTTTGTGAAAACACACCTTTAGGGTGAGAGATGGTGTGTTTACGCCACATGACGGAGGGGATGACTTTTAACACCTGAGGAGAACGAGTCGGAAGCAAAATAAGATCATTTGGATACCTTGACACACTCTGAAGCCACACATTACAGTGCAAACGCAATATTTCATCCATCACACACTTTTTCTGTTCTAAAAGGAGGAGAATGGAAGCGAGAGTGGGAAATGCACAATCTACTCCTCTCTCAATGGGGTTGTGTTGCACCAAAGGCCTTGGCGTTTACTGCTTTAAAGAAGAATTTGCTTCATTCAATGAAATGGAAACCACGGTCTTAGATATGGGTCTTGGGTCTCTGCCTTACCGCCTTTTGAAAGCCTTTTACGGCCCTCTTGGTGGCCACTCCTCTACCTCTCCACCGCTTCGTGGTACACAGCTACCTGGGGCAGTCACCTTGATGAAAAAATAATCTACTACAAATCTGGCGTTCACTGCTTGTTTTCTTAAATAAGGAGACTGAACGGCCTACATTCCTATATGTCCTTTTTCCTTTTCTTCCGTTTTTAGCATTTTAATTAGTAGATTCGAAACAAAAAATATTTTTTGCTAACGTTTCTAAGTAGTAAATAAGCGAAATGCAAATTTTTTGTACGAAAGTGCTGCTAGATCTAACTTCAATCCTGATCTGATTTTTGTTTTGTCGAACATGGAAACTGGTTATTGTGAAGGTAACGTCAATTAAAGCAATTTCCATCCCTTGTAAAATTCTGGACCACCTTAACCCCTGCAGTATTAACCTAGCAGATTGGGGATTTCGAAGGTATATGAGAAGAAAAAGTAAGCTTTTTTGTGATCAACTTGGCCAAATGATATGAAATGTTTACCTCTTACCAAAAAAATCACATAAATTGGTTTTTATACTGAGTAGAAGATAAAGTATTTGAAATCGCGCATTGCAGATCACAGCATTGTTTTTGGCAACCGAAACAAGTCAGTACTACTGTTTGAATGTTCTTTCTCTTATCCTTGAAAAGATACTACATTTACCTAGGTCGTCTCACTTCAAACTTTGCATATATTTAAAAATCGTATAATCCAGAGTGATATATGATCTCAAGTGATCCTTGCAGTCGGAGTAGGTCATCTTGGTGTGGTGGAATATCTACTACTGATAGTAACAAAATTTGTCAGGATACAAAAAACACTCCGAAGGTGGTGCCACTTAAAGCAATTGTACTCCACTCAACTTGAATTGCCCACGTAGTTCGACACACTGTTCAACAATATGCAAAACCAACATCGGCTCCACTGACTCTGCACTTTTTGAGCGACATTATCCTCCCTTGACGCTCACCGAAGCGTGGTTGGTGCGTCAATTACCACTCGTGGACCATCGACGACAGTTATTGAATCTTCTCGAATGAGTGGAGGCAAATAATCCCACCATCATTTGTGCATGTTGGCTATTTAAGCGCATCTGCGATTCCGTCCTATTTGCGGACTCTTATGAGAGAAGGATGAATACGCTAAGTTCGTGCCGATAAGGCCTAAATGATGCTCTAAAATGCCTTCCTTTCATGTGCTAATCAGCAGTGATGAGGAAGTTGGCCTTAAGGTACAACCACACTGCAAAAGACAAGAGTTATAGTTATTTGACTAAGGTGGATGATTTGTGTCGATTCCTCTGTGCCACCATTTTTGCACTCCAATGTTGTCGATTCATCCCCTATCCATCTATTCTGTAAGCATTCATTCATTCATACATCCATGTAAAGTCCATTCAAGTGATAGAGGCTTAGAAGGGTAATAGCTTATTTAGGCAGTAAATATTGTCACAGAAATGCCGTTAAAAGCTCCACAAAATGGACATTTCCGACAATGTAAGGCCTTAATAAAGGACAAGAATTAAGGTAGTAAAAAAAAGGGAAAATTTCTGTCGAGCTATCCTTCTGTTGGCAGAGTTGGATTAGATACTGGCCTGCATTTACCTCAGAATGCATAAGCGTCTGTTAGAATAACACAAAGAATAACACCTCACATCCAAATTTCCCTAAAAGAAAATTAAAAAAGTGAATCCATAACTATCCACCAATGCTTAGTGAAGGGTATACAGAGCTCTTCCTTCGATAAATATACTTCTTTCACGATGCAGATTTTTCTCCTGCATTTTGCTTTTGGAAGGAGGAAAGACTAAGGAGGTCAGCAAAGATTTCTCTTAAGCATTATAACCATGCAAAGTCGTGGACATTACATCTGCACTTACCTTCACCTCCTTTTCATTTATTTACAAATGTAGGGAGCATTATTGTCACATACCCATAAATCTTGTTGGTTAATTTAACTCGTCAGTCCCTTTTGGCTCTAACACCGCATGCATAAGGTAAGCAAAGTTGTATTTTGGACAGGAAAGGGGATTCCTTAAACCCTGCCTCCGGTTAAGTTAAATGGCGAGGTGGATTAAACACCGCCGAGCAAGATAAATGAACTGATTAATTAATTTTGTCTTTAAGTGAACAGACGAAGCTCGTACAAAGTTTGTACTGCATTACCACCTGCTGCATGAGGGGAAGAAAAGTGTTTGCTTGGTTTTTGGGTCTGACCATCTCTAATGCGATCAGATAGGTACTCGACAGTTTGATTGCTCTGTCGGTTAGCCTTCAAAATTTGACGTGGTATGGGATGCTTGCTGAAGGTCAAGCACTCACGTCTGCTATCTAGCCATCCAAAACTTCTTGATTTAACCCAATCTGTCGTACCATCTGCTGCTGAAAACGCAGACAGGGCTGGTATCCAGTGGGAATAATGCCCCTCCCTTACATCACTCCTTTGAGACGGATGGGGCGGAGATGCAAATTCAACCGCCACCTCATCTTATTTTTCGCGTTCACCTCATTCCTTATTCTTAAAGTGATAACCACCCTTTCAACATCAGACAATGATATAATCCCGTGTACCATTACTTCGACAGTTGGGAAGAGCAAGTCATATAAAAGCGGGAAAGAGCGGCCAGAAACAGATTGTGCATTTATAGAAAAAACTCCTCAAAATGTACAATTGGCCGTGATCATGTGCCCCTGCAATTGGAAACTAAGTAAGGTATTACAAGAAGCTTTCTGTAATTATTTACCTATTCTCAATAAAGACAAGCAAATTGATTTGGACGCCTCTTAAATGCCAACACACATGCGATGGCTCATGAGGGCAACCAAATTAACAGACACTTTTCAATCAAATGTACAAAAAAAAGACACCTGGATCTGCAGTGAGGGCGTGAAAGTTGTTAGGATGATGCGTGTGAGGGCTTTACAAGCTCTTTCATATGCTCTCAGCTAATCTGCACGTTTTAAACCTTCCATTGTCCCTTCAAAATCTCTCCTATAGAGAAATTTCTGACTCCATAGACTCTTGTCACTCTCATGGTTTGAGATGTGTGCATCTCTTCACCTTCCACAAAAATCATCCTCAAATCTACTTCTTGCCATTTGAAGAGGGAAGGTTGCCATTTGTTTACAAGTTATCGTGCAAAATTAGTCGGACCCTCTTATGAGTGCCTCATCCGAATGGGAAGATAATCATTCCTTATATCAAAAGGTCTGCTTTTGCCAACAATTACTATTTTGCCCACTAATCTGTATTAATTATTCCATTGAAAAAGCATTTTACTGGATTATGCAAATGTGCTTAATATTCAACATATTTACACCTTAAAAGGGAGACTTTGACTCAGAATTTAAGGCTGTTTATTAAATATTCCTAGAAAAGTTGCGTTTCTGATTTACCGCCTTGCATCATGGGCGATGAAGCCATTAAAAAAGTCGTTCTTGATTCAATTTCCTTGTCTTCTCTTGGGGTAATATGAATTGCAACTCTTGAATGTGTATAGGACAGACGGGCATGCATGTCATAGGTCACAGATGTCCAATCTGTCAAAATCCCCTGAATGGGCTGCCAGGGTGTCAAATGGGCAGTGTGTGATTATTGCTTTAGCAGGAGGATTGTTTTATCAGACGACAGAGATGCCTACTTTTACCACACGCCTAAAAGCGTGGCTTCTCCACCATGGGTAATGGGAAGAGCCATCAGGTCTATCGTCTAGATAGCGACAACTACCCTACACGAAATTTAGTCAAGGTATTTGGAAAACTAAGAAAGCTAATTTTTTTCCTCTGTGAAGAAGAAATTTAGGTCAAATATGAGGAGCATTATGAAGAGTCACCAAAATGCCGGTCACTGTACCCACTCCTGCGCAGCAACTATTTCCCTCTTTTCCAATGGATGGCAATTCTCCGTCCACTTTTTGATGTCATTGCGTAATACAAGAAATAAAATCATCTGTGTAAAAGGAAGGATTTTACAATGCGCTGTGATTTTTAAAGTACTCTGAACGATTGTTTGTGCTGGGTTGTCACAAGTCTTCTCCCAAAATTCAAAACAAGCCCTAATAATATTGACCAATGCTTAGTCTTTTGCAACTCAGAATGGCCTTCGTGTCAATGGTGTGTTCAAGACAAAAGTACAATTGTCGGCTACACAAAACGAAGAACTAACCACTGCATGGTCTCCCTCTCCTTTCAAAAACCAGTTACGGCTCTACTTGTGACCATTCCTCCACTTTGGTCCCGTCAAAACAGTAAAAACCACTTCTTAGTGATGATTCTTGTCTGAGCGTTGTGTCTCCACACTCCTCAGAATAGCAAATGTGTTTATCAGTCCTTTCGAATTTTGAGGAGAAAATCCAGCCATTTCCTTGCTTTGGCACCGCTGGACTCATTCGTCAAATTTATGCCATTATATTTCTTAGCATTTATAAACTGTTAGATAGAAAGACGGGTTAATTTAAGGAGTAGAGTTTAGTCCCTTGCTAGAATTGGGCAAGTAAAGTGTGTAAAAAAATTCTTCAAGAGTGCGTTTAAATGGAGTGTGGCCCATTCGCAAGTAAAAACCTGGGTAGTCTCCTTGTCGCATAAATAATTTATCAAAAATCTAGTGTTTACGAATTTTATTTTCTTAAATCATCTAGTTGAAATGAATGCATTCCATTACGCTCTCTTCCCCTTGATGCACTACTTTGCATTTTGATTAATGTACCTTCAAGAGGAAAACATGTTTTCGCCTATATTTTCAAGTAATAAATAGACAAGATTTTTACATTTTAAGAAAGGGTGGAGACTGATCTAGTGTTTGTTAAGTCGAATAATAAAACTGGCTATTGAATGTCAAACGCTGGTAGAAGTAATTTTCATCCTTGTACGCTTCGGGTCACGTCATCAAGAGATCGTCTACCTTTGCCCGCCGAGCCTTCAACCCGGAGGATTGCAGGTTTGGAGGGCGGATGTGGGGAAAGAGTAGGCTTTTAGTGGCTTATTTGGCAATGAAGGTGATTGAGTTGATGCGCTTTGGTAAAAGTTGCACCTGTCTGCCTGGTGAATAAAAGTACCTTGGCCTGCTTATTCTTCACAGGGCATCAGCTCTTAAGGTTGCATCGACAAGTTGCCATGAATCTTTCATCCTTTTTACAACAAAATGAATCTTACAAATATAGGAAAGTATTTGACATCACACATCTGCAATCACACCATTGTTTCCAACATGTAAAATGAGGCGGAATCCGTGTAGATAAGTTCTTTAAAAATTTTGCATTGACCATTTTTTTTAAAAAAATGCTTCTTTTTCTGGGAACTTTAGCTCTTCTTTTCAGGATTAGGCAACTTTCCTCAAGCCTACCCTATTCTCAGCTTTGTGTTTTTATCTGAATAAATCGTGTAGTCTGAAGTAATGAATTGTCTCGAGTGATCCGCACAGTTGCAAGAGGTTACAGCAGCAGGTTAGGGCGTATGCCAGACATTGAAGTATTTCATTTGTGTCTGAAAATTCTTTCTTTTATTCTAACAAAATTTCTGCATTCGCTCTATTCCCTAGTGACCTCTGCAGTCGCTTGACATTACATATGGTACCATTAGGTCGCATATCTGCAGGACACTAGCACACCCCAAAGGAAGTGCCTTTCAGCGCAAGTGCAATGCATTTAGCTTGAAGCGCTTACGTACGTCGACACACATTTCAACAATGCAGTAAACAACTACACAACTCGCCACCTTCCTCTAAGCGACATCAAAGGCGCCTCATTTGGTCCACCTCACGCGTCGCTCACTATAGCGTGGTTGATGCATCAAATACCTTCCGTGGACCACCAACGACAGTCATTGAATCGTCATGCAAGGGGAAAGGCAGTTGATCTCATCATCAATGGTGCATCCCAGCTAGTCAAGCGTTTCAGCAGTTTCGTAACATTTATGAACTTTAGCTGGGAAGGGAAAATTGCTCCAGCCTCGTGTTAATCGCGACTAGAGGATGCTGTACAAAGAGGGTATCTCCTGTACCAATCGGCAGTGGTGGGAATGTTGGCTTAAAAGAACAGCCACTCTATAAAAGACAAGA